AGGATGTCCAGTGACTTCCAATGCAACACCAGACTTATATTGAGATTTTCCCCTCGAGATTTGGTACATTTTGTTTAAGTAATGTGCTATATTTCCATATAGGGCAATTTTTGGTATAAAATCGTTCGCTCGTTTCATTCATTGAGAAATGGGAATGTCTAGGTTTTATTGATGTTTTTTTAAACTTTGTGTACCGAATACAAATAGTGCATAATATATGTAGTATGTACTATGCACTAAGTTGGTTCCACGACTTTGCTTTTTTTCTCAGTTGGCGAAAAAATATTGGTGATACCTACATTTTCATCATTTTGCTGGTGCCTTGATTGTACCACATTCAGTATATTTTGACCAAGAAAAGTATCACATTCCCAGATGAGGCCATTTTTGGTACAAAATTGTTTGCTCGATTCATTTATTGAGAGATGGAAATGTCTACGTTTTATTGATTTTTTTTACATATTTCATATACCGAATACATATTGTATACGCATTATGCACTAAGTTGGCACCATGACTTCGTTTTTTTTTCTCAGTTGGCGAAAAATATTGATACCATTTTCATCATTTTGCTGATGCATTGAATCATCCTCCAAAAGTTCAAAAAAAAAATTCCAAGACCTACCTCCTCTCCCTATCCTCACTAGGTACGCACGAACATTATAGGTATTTCTTTTCGTGCGCTCCAAGAGATGAAAAAGAAAAGTGCTACATTCCCAAATGAAGCAGATTTTCATTATAAAATCATTAGTTCGATTCATTCATTAAGAAATGGGAATGTCTGGATTTGGATTTTGGTTCAAAATATATGTTCACGTTGTGGCAACACTGTAGTTTCTGGTTTATTTCAATGATGGCGAATATCTCGGAACTTGAGAAATTAATTCAGGGATGCGGTTTCTACTGAACGATATATTGATATGAAAAGCGTGTTTTCATGTATAAATACTTTATTAAGTGTTTACACTTTCATTCACTACAGGGTGTTCAACAAATTAATTCTTTTCGAAGCCAAACCCCTTAAAAAAAGTAAAGTAGTTGATTTTGAACGATGGTGTTTAATTGAGGCATTCAGGCACCAAGAAAAGGTCGTAGGAATTTTACAACATATTTGGGGTAGGTAGGTATAGGTAGGTAATTAAAAAAACATCCCTTCAAACAAATAAACTAATATCTCATCACAAAAAACGTTTTGTTGGAATTTTCTTCACCAGTCCCGAGATATTTAAATTGGGTGAAAAATTTCCGAGACGCGGTCATCAGAAATGTTGAGTTCCTATTTTGCATCTTTCAGGTTATTGCATAATGAAGTTAGAAACCTAGTTGATAAAGAGTGAATTCGAATATTTCTAAATATTGTTATTGTTCAGTTTTCCCAAGTATTTCGTTAGTTGGAATCTCTCGGAATTTCTGCTGGAATGTAGAGAGGAGGTTCTAGTACCTGACAATGACAAGCGGTGCAGTCGAATTGGCTCCCGAAGATTATCTCGATTACCAATGAAGAAAGTAGAACATACACGTAGAGCACCTCGCGCACGATATAAGACATGCGCCTTCCTGACTACTCACTATTAACTTATGTCATCGTAAGGAAAAACAAATACAAACTACAAAATTGGATATACGAATGAAGTGTATTCCCAAGGAGAACTTGGAACACACCGAATTGGCTCCCGAGGCCAAGTCATTTTGGGAGTCAGTTTACCTATACCCATTTTTCGCTTGCGGATTGAGACTTGGCCTCGGGCGCCAATTCGGTTGCGCCCATGACAAGTACCTATCGAATGAGTGAATTTTGTCAAATTTCTTATTTGACTTCCCTCATATTATAAAAAGTAAGATGTTGGATGCTACGGTACCTATCTATCTAGCTGGTTTCTTCAAATTTTAAACCTTATATACAGGATTCATCGAAGGATTTGAAAAAAATGTTAGGTCTTTATCCAAATATCTTCCAGTGATATCAAAACAAATGAATGAGCATCATAAATTTAATTTTTTTCTCTAAATGTAGCATACTACATAAATTCACGAATTTCGAGATGGTTTGCTAAATTCAATGTGTGTAAGAAAGTTGATAGGCCAAAACACGACAATTTTGATAATAAAACCATTGTTGTCATAGATCGAAAGCCAAAATCTACAATAACAAACTCCGAAATCACATCATTTTCAAGTCCAATACTAGGCCTATTAACCCTTATAGACCCTATACATAAGTATGAATTCTGGAATAAACTAGATAGTGTGAGAATATAAAGAGGGTTTTATTTTCAGAAACGTTAAGCTATTTAGATATAGCAGTGGTATTTGATTACTTTGGTCATATATTCGTAGCCATTCAACTTACCCCCTCTTGAGATGGGTGGTTTTGCGGTAAAATCTTTGAATTCTAACATTTATTAGATCTACCCAATGCCTTCCCTGAATGTGTGCGACTAAGTTATAAATAATAATTAATTAGCAAGAAAATACATATTGTTATTATGACTACTATTACACATATTTACAGAGATTTTGTCTAGAAGAATAAACAGCTTCTCTGTAGATATTCAAGACCCTGACTTTGAGAATTGAATCAGTTTTTATTTATCAGCTTCAGTTTTCGAGATATGACATAATATGTACACTTGGGTAAAAAACCAAAGGAACTTACCACAAAAATTCACAAAAGCAACTAAAAATTATCTTTTTGACAATACTATGCTAAACCCAAACTCATAAATGGGCGCCTATCCTCACATAAAATACAAAAAAGCTGTGTTCTAAAAACTAGGATGTGTTATCATCACTTTCATTATTATTGATATTATCAATATTATTACTATTATCATATTATATTATTATTATTATTCGGATCCAAGTGGAATCGTCAAGTTGTTTCTGAAGTCTGAACTCTGTTGCCGCCATCTCCATATAATGATAATGTGTTACGGACAAGACAGTGCTACCTTATAATGATTATCTTTCTCTACAATTTACGAGGTATACACTATACAGGTTGTCTTATAAAAAACTCCGCAAGTTGTGAGTCCGCGTCATGATTCGTCTGATTTTGAAGAATAGAAATTATTTTGGTAATAGATTGATATCTTCACTATGATGTATTCACTTCTTGTCTGGTGGGTGATGCCACACACACTAATCCATTGACTTCCTTAGAACACCGTAGAAAAGTTGGCGAAATTTCACTTTTCTATAGATACTTCAACGAGAAGTGGCCTTCAGAAATCTCTGCCATCATTACATCACTAGCAATACCAGTCAGACGAACTCGACAAGCCCAGTCAGCACATCCTTTCGTTGTCAATCTCGAAATATGTCGAGCAACACTTTACCAAAACTCGTTGGTCTATAGGCAAAGCTTTGGAATTCGTTGTCTGAGGACGTAATTCCAAGAACTTATAACGTCCAAAAGTTCGAAAAAAATTCCAGTAGGAAAAAAAAACCTTTTTCTGCAACCGACTCAAAAGTCGTCCGTTTCAATACCAAAATTAGCTCTTGAATTGACGTTTCTATTACTGACACAAGAATAGGTATGTTGCTAGGCAACACGTTCAGTCCCTAGGAGCTGAAGTTGAACTTCAGCTCCTAGGAACTGAAAAAGTTGTACTAGGTCATCAAGAATAAACAATTTTGTTGGTTATTTGGGTTGGGACGCATACCTGATTTGTTTCCGATTTCGGCAGATTTGGCATTTCATACCCATGGCATCTGATTGATTGGATAACTTGTTTTTGAATAGTCACGGCCAGCAATACCTTTTTGTCTCACACAATGATATTGTTTACCTCCATTCGATTACCGAGCCAAACACAGTGGAATATGAAGAGAAATAAATAATCGCTTTAATTATTGTTGACATACTCACTAACCTAATATATTTTCCGATACCTGGCACTGGCGCGGTATTTGCTATTAGGGCTGCCCGGTCCAAACGAATTCATCGATTCATCTATTCAATGGAATACACAAATAGGTCACTCTGTGCCCTGTGGTTGTATTTATATTGAAACTACAATTTGGACATACTTGAAAATTTAATGAATCTGATCTGTAAATGCAGGTAGAATATTCTCACCACACGGATTATCTGTTACGTTGTATAAATATGGCACGGCATCCACGTTTCGGGGAGGTAGTATTGAATTCGTACGTAACAAAGTAAAGTAGTCTGAGATGTTGCTTCTATCCACTTACACATATTATAATAATCTGTTAAGTGAGTCACATTAGTGGTTACTTCACTTATATTTATTTCTGTTAATTCTTTCGGTTGCAGAAAAAAAAAACATGTTTCATTCGGATCAAAGGTGACTTTGTTTGACTCGCAAATGCAAGATTCGCTTGTCAAACAAAGTGTCACAGTTGATCCTAATGAAACAATCTACAATTCATTGTAGAAGAAGACCGGAAGTAATTACTTGGTGGATACTTATCAATTCAATGTGACTGTTCCAGTTGCTTCAATTGTCAGTTTACTTTGAAATAACCCAGCGGCTTAGCAACGCCCCACTCAAGTCCCAAGGGTTTAAATATGTCACTTCAGTTCCTGTTTTGAGATACTAAGGTGAATGGTCATACTTCAGTCCCAGGAGTGCAAAAACTTTTTTTTCTCCAAATGACATTAAAAGTGTCTTTTTTATGACACTCAACAGGCAGGAAAGGTGTACTTTTACTGCCTAGACAGAAAAAGTTTGTTGCTATGCAACATTCCAAGTAATAACGCAAATCAAATTGGTTATCAAAATTGACACTAACGTTGGGTGAACACAAAATGATGGATTATTTGGAGTTTGCGTGAAATTGGGCGAATTTGGAGAAAAAATTATGTTTCACACGGCAGAAAGGCAGATTTAATGCCTTGGCTGGTTTCCTAGCCTCGGCTACGCCTTGGCTATGAAACGCCAGACACGGCATTAAATCGTATGCTTTTCTGCCTAGTGAAATGAATAACTATTGTTTTGACGATAGCTTTCCTGCATTGTATTTTGATTTTCAACTATTCAATGATTTGTATTTTTGTTCTAGGCCAAGAAAGATATTTACCAAGTGAAATCTCAACGGTTATTATTAGCCCAGGACGAATACAACCATCTGAACAACGCTTTGGCAAACCTCGCTACCTCAAGGACGAGTTGTAAGTTTTATAAAACACCGACATTTATGCACAAAAAAACTAATCGATTCCATTTTTTTTTTTGTTTTCAGTATGTTCGTCGAGTAGTAGCATAAGCACGAAATATGATCCAGACCTACTCAAATCCGATGTAGCTCTAGCGAAAAGTAGAGTTTCTAGGCTCAGGTGTGAGCTAGAACAGATCAGGAATGAGTTGACCTACACCCAAAGGGGTGTTGAAACATTAACGAAGTAAGCTATTTCTTTATTACTTCAATCGTTTATAGGGAATTAGGCTTATTCTCATTCGAGTATCACTATTTTCATAGTGTCGAATTAATTAAAAGAACAATTTAGTGTTGAAAGGGAATATTCTCAGTTATATTATGAACGAGAAGAAATGGATTTACAGTGGCCAGGTAGCCGTGCGGACAGAGTGTCTATATTCTAATTCGCATTCGCTTACCGGTCGTGGGTTCGATCCCCGTCGACTGCAGAAATTTTTCTGATGGCCCAAGAAAGTGTTTGGGATCACACTTTAAAAGGTAAGGCCCCCGTCATTCCTTGCTCGCACAAGACTTTCGAAGACTTTTGAGGGTTGCTCGTAAGGGGGCAACCGAATGACGGATAGAACAATTTTAGAACAATTTTAGAACAACAATTTCAGTATGATGCAAATGTATGGAATAAATTCATTATTTCAGAAATGGGCGACATTTGAAAAAATTCCAAAAACACGTGAGTTTTAATTTCTGAAGCCTCATCTCATGATATTCATATGAGAGATGTTACGTCACTGGTGTTAGAGTAAAGACGTAATGGACGATTTTTTCAAATACAAATAGGGGTCATGTGACACTTTGATTGAAAGGTCTACCGATCGTCTATTCGACAGTCAAAATGTTGCATAAGAAGATTGAAATTAAAATGGATTATCATGTGATTAATTGAATCTTGCAGAGGTCTGCTACTGAGAATTGAACATCGAAGGGTCGTCTAGTTAAAAAAATACGTCGAAAAAAAAGTTCTAAACTCTAGTTTTTGTTTTTTTTCGAAAGTCGTCTTGTTTTGAAATGAATTTATTCCATACATTTGCATCATACGTATATATAAAGAAATACATTGAGAATTCGCATTGTCTATATGTGATCGAAATATTGATTCCTTCTCAGTATATTCAACAGAAAACAACTACTTTCCTGGCTATATGCCACGACGAACATTGAATTATATCTATTTAACACACATGATGAAAATTTGATGATAAAATCTTCTGAAGTTGAGAATTTGCATTCTCTTTCAGATAAAAATTGTGTATTTCATGAAGAATGGAAAGAATAACTGGACTTCAGGTTACTGAATTCTCAATTTCAGAGGATTTTTGGATGTTCAACAGATATAATTCAATGTTCGACGTGGCAAATAGCCAGGAAAGTAGTTGTTTCCTGTTGAATATTCCGAATGATAATATGTGCATATCTTTATATGAAGGAGAATGCAAATTCTCTACTTCAGAAGATATTGTTTTCAAATTCTCATTGTGTATGTTCAATAGATGTAATTCAACGTTCGTCGTGGCATATAGCCAGGAAAGTCGTTGTTTTCTGTCGAATAAACCGAGAAAGAATTGATATTTTTATCACATAGAGACTGCGAATTCTCAATGTATTCCTTAAAATACATATATATCTATTTTTTATGTTCATTATTATATTTGAGTGTTCAAACTTGAACGATGGAAACTTGTTTATTTCATAGACCTCAATCGCGGATTCGTTATTATTAGATTTTCTCAATTCAGAATTTCTTTCCCCACCCTGTATCTGTTTCGATTAATTATCAGTAAATAGTGAATCAAAAGTTGAAACAGGGACATGTGAGCCGTTTTGACCGATAATGAATAGTTCAGACACAAAAAAATCCTAAAATTGAAAAATCTTGATTTTGAACACCCTATATCTCTGTAATCATTCCCGCTAGACCCCAAGTGTGATGCATTGATGGAATCAGCTCTTCAAGGAGAATCTAAAGATGCAATGAAATACAGGATGTTCCATTAGAAAATCGAAAGTTGATGCCCTTTCCGCTTACGGTTTCAACTTTGGGATATGGTAGTTACAGAAAAATGTGTCCACCGCCAAATTTAAATCGACCTGTCTTGAGTGATTTTCAATTTTTTCAACGACTCGGAGATAAGGGAGGTGACAAGTTTTAGCTGGGACACACTGTATATATCTCCATTTCTTCATGTTCATAATATATCTGAGAATATTCATTTTCAATACTTTCATACCCAATCAAGGGATTCAAACTTGAACGATGGAAACATGTTATTTTTATAGACCTCTAATCGCAGATTCGTGATTGGGTTTTCTCAATTCAGAATTGTTTTCCATGTCCTGTATGATGAATATGAATTTGTCATACATCCAAAAACAATTTAGTGGATTTGAAAAATCAGTCCTAGTATTTGTTTGGATATAAAAAGTTATGACTCTTGTGTTGATGACATTGACCATTAAAATTATAGATAACAGATTTCGGTTATGTCAAGGCCGTACCGAGAGGCAAAGTGACGGCCTAAGAATCAGATTTTTTTTTCTTGGATACCCTCTCCGAAAAAAAATTCTGGGCACGGCCTTGGATTATGTCCCGAAAATAATCTGATTATATCTAAGTAAATAAGATGGTATTTCATCACTTTGTGAACCGATTAAATGGATGAAATCAATGACGTTTCCTATTTACTTATTTCTTATCGAATTCCACAGGAATGTGATAATGAAAACATGCCATACACAAAATGCTGATTAAAAAAATAAAAGATTATCAGTGGAGAGAATGAATAATATTATCAGTGTGGTATTTATGCAAACTGTAACAATTAGATACATTTCTGAACACATACAGTGTGTCCATAAAGTGACACCATCAATTCATTATTATCCCAATAAACAATACTCCCAAAAATTCCTGAAACAGGTCGATTCCACATTTTAATTTATTGTTAGTCAAAATAATAATCTGATATACATGGTGAACTACCTTCGTGTGATGTGAGCAATACCAGTTTTTTCAATGGAACACCCAATTTTGTTCAATTTCTGGATTTTATTTGTTGACAAAACAATCATACATCAACTTGACATAAAGCTAGGCAAAAATACGAAAGTTGTTTATGAAAAGATGAAAAGTTATAAGTACGTTACTTTGTTCTCATGAAATAATTAAGAAATAATGTAATAAAAATCGAATTTCAAAGTTATGCAGTCACTGTGATACACTACCGAGAATGAACACATTGTGATTTTTTTTGTTTGTTGTAGTGTATTACAGTAATTGCAGAACTTAGCACTTATATTTCATTTGTTTACAGTTAAGTTAATTCTCCTTTTATTTCATTTCATGAACAACTTTTTTAATTTTGCTCACCTTGTATTGATCTGAAGTAACGTGTGAAAGATTTTTGTAATCAGCTCACTAAGGAAAATCCGGAAATTGGGGGTGTTTCATTTAAAAAAACCGGTGTTGACGTCATCACACGAAGGTAGTCCTCCTATACATAAGATTGTTATTTTGAATAACAGTAAATTAAAATAAAAAATCGACCTGTTCCAGAAATTTCAAATAGTCTTGTTCATTTAACTAATAATAATTTTATACGACACTTTTTGGTCACAGTGTATTTACTCTTGTGAGTGAAGATTAATAATGATTGATTGCTTTTGAAATCAACTCAAAACTAGTACTAATATTAATAGAATATACATAAAAGTTCGATAATTTGATGATCATTGATTCAAAATTATTTTTTCTAAATATTCAACCTACGTACATTTATGAAGTCAAAACAAATCAAGATTGATCAAATAGTAAACATTTTACAAGGATGATAAATCCTTAATAGGTTGGACACACTGCATATAATTTTAAATAATTAGAATTAGATGTTTCGTTCATGTCCTATTTTTGTACTAATTCCATTATTTCAGCACATTCTCGAATGATATGGAAAGACATCTCAGATAAATGCCTTATCATTAGTTATTTGTGATTTCGGTTCTATACATATGATTCAACATTGAATTGTAAAAGTATTATCGTATATTCATTGTACAATACGAAATACAAGTATAGTATTTGCAAAGTTACTTGAGACAAATTCAGCAAAAAACATTGGCGGCACGCGGTCGGTTTGAACTTTTCAAAAGGACCGGCTAATCTCTTGATCAAGCTGCCTCATGTGACTTTGCAAAGACTAAACAATATGTATGCGTATGATGCATGAGAAATACTGACACTGCCTTTGCGTAACCAGATTGTTACATCCATATATTTGAGGACAGCTATGCTTCATATATGAGTAGTAGATACAGTGTGACCCACTTCTAATGGAAACACCCCTGTATCTAACGTAATCGTTGGGTAAGGATCCTGAAATTTGCTGGAGCGAGAGATATACCAAGAATGCACTCTATGACCAAGTGGGGTCATGTTTAGTGATATACACTGCTCGCAAACAACCATGAAACTACCCCAATTTCCGGAAAATGATATTAGGAGTCAAAATAGGTCGAAAATCACTTCAGATTCGGAATCAGGACGCCCAATTTACTAACTATTCAAATTTACCCAGAAAAATTGATTGAAAATGATATTAGGAGTCAAAATATGTTGAAAATCAATTTGGATTCGGAATCAGGACGCCCAAGTTACTAACTATTCAAAGTTTTCTTAAAAGATTTTCAGTTCAGAAAAATTAAATTTTGTCTCACTTCTCATGGAAGAACCGCCGTATCTCACGTAATTATTGAGATAGGGTTCTGAAATTTGCAGGAGGAAGAGAAAGTCCAGAGATAAAGTCAATTACGTGAGATACGGGGGTGCTTCCATAAAAAGTGCGACAAAATTTCATTTTTCAGAACTGAAAATTTTTCTGGATAAATTTGAATAGTTAGTAAATTGGGCGTCCTGATTCCGAATCTGAAGTGATTTTCGACCTATTTTGACTCCTAATATCATTTTCCGGAAATTGGGGTAGTTTCATGGTTGTTTGCGAGCAGTGTATATCACTGAAGATGACCCCACTTGGTCATAGAGTGCATTTTAGGTATATCTCTCGCTCTAGCAAATTTCAGGATCCTAACCCAACGATTACGTAAGATACAGGGGTGTTTCCATTAGAAGTGGGTCACACTGTATATGGTTACTTCCAAGGCACCATCTTTACCAAAAAGTTTGACAAATTTTGTCACAGGCGGTTGAACCAGACTATTGAGACACTGTTTTATTTCTGCCACTAACTTGAACAAAGACAAGACAGTATTTACAATATAGTCCTTTATGAATGAGTGAATACTATAACCATACATATTTTGATAAATTATCATGATTCAAATAACGTTTCACGATTCCATTACTTTTATTGTGTTCCGAAAACGGCAACACATGGTTACGAGGCGGATACCAAGTATTTTTTATGAAATTGTATTTCTCATAGTCATTCATTGTTCAACCAACTGCTTCACCTATATCGAACATATTTTCATTTTCCATATTTCCTTCTAGCAGAAAATAGTTTTCTTGAAAATGACGGTCGAGTCCTGCTTTGAATACTTTCAGTTGTTTGCCTTGGTCTTGGTTTTCCAAATTTTTTTTGTTTTTGTACTTGAAAAAAGTAAGAATCAATCTTCCTTTCATTCATCTGAAGAATTAAACAACCCATCTCAGTTCTCCAGATCAAATTGAAAGTTTCAATGTTTTTTCACCATGACCATGAGAATGTATAAATTAAATGATTCTCGAGAATGCATCGAAGAATTTACATTGACTCTAAATAGTATTGTTCATACAAGTGATTATAATGTCATACACTGTTTATCGGATTCGAAAATATGCAAAAAATCAAACTCGTAAATAATGTCAGTGTTGCATATAGGTACAGGGTGATTGTATATATTTTACTCAATAGCTATCTCAGTTAATGTTGGTCTCACAGAAACGTTCAAATGGGCAAAAGTGAAGTATGTTTATGGGCATTCAGAATCTAGTACTAGAAAATGCATAAAAGCATCGTAAACCTAAAAATTTTACATAAACTGATATTTTTTTAATGAAACACCCTGTATTTTATTTTTTTTCTTCTGATATCGAATATATGCACACTTTATATTTTGTCAGTTAAAAAAAACAGATTTCTTGGTATAGCTCCTAAGCAACGCCAGACGACAATGCTGCGATTTCTGGCGTTCTACAGCTGTCTTAGTATTCATATTTTTCGAAAACTATCAAAGATAACCCCAATAAAGTATGAATATTTGAAATCAGAAGGAAGCTCTACGGTTTATAAAAATAAAATACAGGTTGTTTAATTTAAAAGATACAAGTTCATGTAAATGTGTTACGTTTACGATGCTTTTTTGCATTTTCTAGTACTAGATTCTGAATGCCCATAAAAATACTTCATTTTTGCCCATTTTGATGTTTCTGTGAGACCAATATTTACTGGCATAGCTGTTGAGTGAAATATAAACAATCACCCCTTACCATTTTTTAGGATAAATTCAATTTAAGCAACTAATTTCTACTTAATGCTCTTGTTTCTGATTCTCACCGCTCACTGTTTACTAAGAGCACAGTGCTCAATAACTATTATTCTTCCTCTATCGTTATCAGCTTTGCCGCCTTTGATTTTGTACCGGCCCTACCGGCCGCCTGTGGATTAGGGTTGTTCGAGAAAACATCCAAATAGAAGGAATAATTTTGGTTTACTCACATGACTCTGGTCAACTATTTAGAACTCTAAACCCCCCTCTCAGATTCGCCAGTGAATCTGATTGACACGAACCTGTTATTTACAGTGTGGAGCAGAAGCTCAGCATGCACCAAGGCACCTGCTACAACATATCCGAAGCGCAAGCCATCATGGTCGAGCTGCGCAACATCCAAAAATCCCTCTCTTCCGGCGAGAAAGAGAAGGCCGATCTGATGCAATCGCTGGCCAAGCTCAAAGACGAGCTCACCAGACTGCAATTGTCCGAGAGCTCCCTCGACATATCCACTCTGAGTCTGCCTCAGGAGAAACTGAGCACCGCCTCGCAGACCGATCTGTCCTGCGAGCTGGTCCCCATAGGAACGCGACTAGCCGAGATGGCGAAAATGAGGTTAGAATACGACGAGGCGAGAAAACGAGTGCAACACATCCAGCAGAAACTCGCCGATCTGGAGGAGAAAGTCCATCCCGGCCAGGTGGAATCGGACAAGGACAGACTGCTGCTGTTCCAGGAGAAGGAGCAGCTGCTGCGCGAGCTGAGGAGCATCGCGCCGCGCATGCGTACGAAAGAGGAGATGACCGGCATCCGGTCGGAGTGCAAGCGGCTCGAGGAGGATCTCAACAAGGCGTTGGAGATGTCGAACAGGGCGATCGCGGACCGGCTGAGGCTGCACGAGGAGAAGCAGCTGTTGCTGCAACAGCTGAAGGACGGACTGCGGCAGATGACGCAGCTGGAGTCGAGGTTGAAGACGCTGTCGGCGAGCACGCTGTCGGTGAGCAGCAGTTCGAGTCTGGGCTCGTTGTCGACGACTAGTAGCAAAGGGTCGCTGAGTTCTGGGTTGAGTTTCACCGACATTTACGGAGGACCACAATGTATAGGTATGTCGTTTTACTGAGTATTGTGTCTAGCATATATAGTGCCTTTCTAAAATTCCTTCTCCCCTTACTAATTTTTGAACCACCTGGTGTATCATTACGGAATTTGGAGAGCTTAAATAGAAGATGAAAACCTACTTTTTTATGGAAAATTACAACTTGAAGTTTCAAAATGGCGGCTGAGCGCCATCTGGAATTAGTTCTTCAAATAGAACACCCCATATATTCCATTTTCGAAATCTTCTCATAATCCTCAACAGTTTCATTCGATTCATTTCACTCCTAAATCCAAAAGCTTTTGATAATTTTTGAATATTAACGTTTAAAAAGTGACATTTTGGCCAGTTCAAACCCAACCAAACACTCGAATGTTGATTTCAATTGAATTTGCGTTGAAAAAAATCGTTGTTGCAATGATATCTTGATCTTTTTCAAAGCAACGACCTCATGAAAACCATACAAAACTGCTATAAAAACGCATAAATCCATTTCCAAACTCAAAATTTCACATTAGCGCTGGAATCTAAAACGACTATTGGTCGTTTTCGTCACCTAAAGAGACAGAGGTTGGTGCCGCTCTCTTTATAGTAAATAGTCTGTATATTAAGAGTAGGTACTTATGAATATTTGAAGTTTTTTGTACGTTTTAGTATCACATAGAAGAGCATTCGGTTTTTACTTATTTGTTAGCTCAAAAATTATCCTGTTTAGCTCAGCATTCACGATTTTTTTTTCAAGAATTCGAATTCAACCTTGCCAATTAGGTCTATTCACATCAGCAATATATGTGATCATTTATTACCTGAACCAATGCTCATGGCTGATACAAAGAGGCAACCTATTATTCTTTGGCGGATCAATTGAGAAATCAAACATTCTCCAGTTAGTTCAATTTACATATTTTCACTATGAGTTTTGAATAAAAATTCTAGAGGCGAGGCGGGGATAGTTTCCTCATAATATTTTACAGAAGGAATCATCAGAACTAGGTTACTGCACATCTTTTCATAGTTAAGGATAAGTTCCACATCTCTAAATAACCTTTATGATATAGATAATAAACTAGGAAACTTTCATTTCCTTTTCAATCAACAAATCTGTCATCTACAAGTAGAAAATGCAATAATGAAATATCTTTCTCTACTGCCGTATTTTCAGCTTGACCAATGAAACCATGTACTCTTTATTATGAAACGAATTTTCGGTCTACAGTGTCATTCATGAAGTTGGCACCATATGGAAAAAACTTTTAATAATAATGTATTTTGAAATTCGACTTAGGCGTTGAGTTTTGCTTCAGCAAAGATGAAAAATGGCGTACTCAGTCGGAGTCACGTGACTTTCGCTACATGTCAAAAGTTGTATTTTTTCAAATTAATCCCTGAAAATGTTTCTATTCCAATTTAACGCATGTGTCTGGAATTTAAACTTTCTATTGTAACTTTTAGTTCTTGATATTTTTTGATTTCTTTTAATAACTTCGAGAAAATTGTCCTAAACATTTTTTAAGATAGGTAAAGCAGTTTGATGATATTTTGATAGATGTCTTTGGCATCATTTTAGTACTGAAATGATTAATTTAAATGAATTTCGCTCCTGAATGATGGACGATCAATTTTGCATCAAACATAACAGATAATTTAAGCGGGGATTAATATTTTCTGACGAAAATCATATTTCTGTCAATAATTAGTAATTAAAAGTTTGTAGCATCATGAATCTACTAGAATGAAATAGTTTTATTGGTGTTAATTTTTTTTAATATCACAGACATTCCATAGTAATTGAAAATACTATCAAAAACTAGAAGTTGCAATAGAACGTTCAAATTTGAAACACATATGTAAGATTGGAAACAACTTTTCTTCGTGAACTTTCTTGAATTTCAAACAAATAGGCCTATTTTCAGCGATCAATTTGAGTAAATATAACTAATGATATGTAGCGAAAGTCACGTGACCCGTACCGACTATTTTTCATTTTTTTTAAGCAAAACTTAACGCCCAAATAAATTATCGTTGAAAGTTTTTCCCATATCATGCCGACTTTATGAATGGCACTGTATAGAAACACATACACAGTTTCACATATAATCATGGGGGGTCTATGTTTTTAAATACTTGTTCAAGTTGTTTGACATTTAATTTCAATGAGTGCTAACATTTTCACTCTCACCAGTTGGTGCTACTGAAACGCAAGGTCAATGTCAAAAACAAAAATTCAAATATTTTGCCGATAGCCCTGAAAGCTATGGCCTGTTTTATCGGAAATATTCGAAAAAAATCATGTAGAATATTTGAACAAATAGAAAACCTTAAGTTATTGAAAGACTCGAGGAAAGACTTCAGCAGACTTACGTTTTTTTACTCTCAATGTGGAACTTGACGACCAATTCTTACACTGACGGAGAAGATGATAACGCAGGAAGGGGCCAAATGACAGGAAAAGAAGAAGTATATTAATCTTTTTTACCAACTCTGACGTTTAAGTGGCGCGTTTTGGTGGACAATAAATAATGTTAGCCCTCATTGATATTCATTCACAACGCGTCAACAGGAAATTGAAATATATATACACATATCGTTTGGAATAGATTTTTCATTTTATTCTCTTATTTACTGGTCGTAGAAGTAGTGCATGCAACAATCATGTAATCAGTACATGATCGTTGATTATTTATTATTCCTGCCATCCTGGTGCAGTATTTGCAATTAATATCTCATCGTCCGATTCACCTTATCAGGTTCGACCAACTCGGAGAAACCCATCGACATGGCCGACCTGCACAAGCGCGTCGAGCGGCTGCTCAAGCCCGCCGAATCGCCCGCCCGTCCCGCCTCCCCGCCCGGCCGGTCGCAGCCGTCGCTGTCGCCGCGCAGCTCGTTGAGTTCCGTGTCGCCGCCCGTGTCGCCCGTCTACGAGAACCTGCCGCCCAACGGGGCGGGGCAGCCGCCGCCCGCCTACGAGCAGGTCAGGCGCGAGAGGGCGATGAGGAGCGAGCAGCGGCAGATCGAGGAGAGGTGAGCGAATAATAATAATAATAATAATAATACTACGTTTATTATTCCCCAAAAACCATGACAAGTATAAGGTTGTAGGATAAGCATACTTAATGTGGCGAATAAATGGCCAGAGTTCAGTTACATTCTACCAAGTAGATTGAAACTGTTCTTCCATTCTGGCCAGACCTAAACCTAACAAGAAACTATAAATAATAATAATAATAATAATAAACGCTCTTTATTGGTTATAAATTACAACCAAAAGACCATCGACCGAAGTCCTGCAGCCAGTAAATTTCAATATACATGGTATTTCAATAATTTCATTTGCATAAAAATGTGAACGAAAAAAAAAAAGAATTTTCATTTATAAATCTGTAGTCCAACTGATCTTCACTAAATGATGTAAGTATTTCTTATATTGTTCTTTCTGGGAATTTGAAACGTGATCTCATATCTTCTCTTAGAATCAAGCGGGGTATTAAAAGCTCCATGTTGCTGGTCTTGAGGGCGAATTTTTGGGATAACTTCCTCAGCCGTTCTTGTATTGGCTCTATTTTAGTTTTGTGGTACAAATATTGATTAGATGGGTTGTGTAGATAGTTGTCAGGGTGTCTCATTCTAGTTATTGTTCTTAGGGATGACGTTTCTGCAGTTTTCAGATTCTGCATGGTAGGATTTCTGCAGTTAGATCTATCGTATGTCCGTAGTCCAACAAAGGTCTGCATATGGATTCATATATCTTTGCTGCTGCTCCGATGTTGATGCCATTTTGTTTGTATGTAAGACTTCTGAAATATTTTTGCTCTCGATGTTATTTTTTGTTTACAGATTTTGGAGTGATACTTGAAATTCAGTTTATTGTCCAGATGGACTCCAAGGTACTTCACAGTGTTGGTGGGGTTGATCTCATGATTGGCTATCGTCACCGTTGGGGAATTATGATTTATTACATGATTAAATAGCATTAGCTGACATTTCTGAAGATTTACTTTAAGTCTCCAATCATTCAGCCAATTCACGGCATTGTCTATGTGGGTTTGTAAACGTGCTGTTGAGCTTTCTAATTTTCTATCATGTGATATCAGGGCTGTGTCATCGGCGTATTGTATGGTGTAAGATTTGGTGGGGTGCTCTTGTTGTTGGGGAAAATCATAGCAGTAAATGTTGTACAGCATCGGTGATAATGGGGCTCCTTGCGGTACACCTTGTTGTGCAGTGAAAGGATGGGACTTCGAACCATTTATTGAGACAAATAGCTTTCTGTCTTCCAGGAAACTTTTAATAATATAAATGAGGTTAACTGGTACTTCTAGAAGCATCATTTTATCAAGCAGTCCTTTATGTCATACCCCGTCAAATGCTTATTTGATATCCAGGAAGCATGAAGCTGTTTTATGGTTGTTGAGTTTTGTTGTTTGGACCTTCGAAACGAGTATGGTTAGTGGATGTATTGTTGACCTTAGATTTCGGAAGCCAAACTGAGAGTTGGGAAGAAACTATAAATCTAACGGCTAAAGAACCTAAGAGCATTAGTATAGTATCTGAGTAAGAGAGGAAAAGAAAAGGTAAAAGAAGGAAAGAGACAATAATTATACACAGCAGGAGGATCACTAAAAATGAATTGGAACGATTCAATCATATATTGATACCAAAAATGAATCAGAAATTCTGGAGTTGAAGCAGTTGTTTCGTTACCATACTTTTGAATGATTTAAGCGAACGACTGAAATCTGTGACACGAAGAGCATTCATAAGATTGGCGATGTTGTAAGAGAAATTTCTTTTATACATTCCTTTCCTATGTCTAGGCACAGTAATAAGACTAGAGTGACGAATATTCAAGTTATGAATATCACTTCTGAAAGATATTTTATTATACAGGTATTCCGGCTTTTTTGTTCTTAGCAATTTGTAGTAGCTGCAAACCATGTGCAATTTACGTCTGTTAAGCATGTTCAGCCAATTGGCAATTTTTAATTTATGAGAAATCCTCTTCCGTCTGCTGATACCAAAAATGAGTCTTGAGCAGGAATTCGGAACTTTTTGAATGCGTTTTATATCAACAACATCTGAGCAAGGTCCGTAGACAGTATCGCAGTAATTGAACTGGGATAACACCATTGACTCACAATGCATTTGTTTGATATCTTGTTCAAGAGAGTGCCTAAGAGGGTAAATCATTTTCAAATTAGAATAGCATTTATTCAGCATATGCTTGACATGTTCTTTGAATCGAAGTTTATAATCGATTGTTAACCCTAGATTTTTTGTGCTGTTCTTGAATGGAATTACATCATCGCCTATGCGTAACACACAAGATACAATCAGGGATGTTCTATGATGACGTTTTTCCATGTACAGGGTGGGCAAAATTGGGCGTTTCCATAGGCTATCTCAGTAACTGAAGGAGTTATCAAAAAATCGATATAAGAAAGATATAGCTGTTCTACCTGGTCTTTGATGCGGGGTATTTAGCCACCAATTTATGTCATTAATTAATTCGTATGTAGTTCTTCCTTTTGCCGTTTGATCCCACTCAATTTGCCATTTTTGTTTAATTTCAGTCTCAATATATTGTTGAGCATCTATCCAGTATCTAAAATTTTGAACTGGAACAATTTGTCACATAAAATTTGTTTCTCCTCTACTTTTTAATTCCGCTAACGCATGAATTTGTTGCATTTCTAGATGAATAGGTTTAGTTTTTGTAACCAAACACAAGGTCTCCATTGGAGTGGTACGTTATGCCCCTGAAACAACACATTTTCAGGGGTTTATCGTACCACTCCAATGGAGACCTTGTGTGTAATTACAAAAAAAAACTAAACCTATTCATCTACAGGGTGACATAGAAAAAAGTACATTGCATAGTGCCACACAGTAGAGGATACTAAAATAAGAAAAAAAGTTCCTATGAACATGGATCCGCAAGACCTTCGGTTAAAAGATTTTTTTTTGTTTTCTTTGAATATCTTTAGCCAGAGACGCGAGAAATGCATAAAATGTGGTATACAGGGGTTTTTTATCATGCTAAATTCAAATATGATCTCTTAGTTTTGTGATGACTGATAGAGGGGGCTACATACAGGGTTCCATCCCTATTGAATCGGTCGTAACTTTTTTGCTATACACTGTATGTCTTTTATACTTATACCTTGTCCAAGTTGCTAGAAGCAATGGTTCCAGTACAAATGCATCTAAAAGCCGACAATGCACGCAAATTATTCAAAAAGCTCCAAAGTAACCTTTGCAAAAACAATGATAAATACTTCAACAATTACATTTTAATGGTATGATGGAAAATGTGATTAATTAGAACAAAACATCAAGTTTTTAGAAGATGTTCAAATTGTTGCCTCGTACAATACATTTTTCTATTAAAATTCAACACCCCGAAGGCCTTGCGGACCCATGTTCATAGAAACTTTTTTCCTTATTTCAGTGTTTTCTATTGTGTGGCACTATGTAGTGTACTTTTTTCTATGTCACCCTGTAGAACTACAACAAATTCTTGAAAAAGTCGAGGTATAATGACAGCTTGAATCTCTCACCAGGTTAGTGGAGCTGCGCCTGTCGACCCCCTCCTTCGCCAACACCGACTGTTCGTTCTCTCCCCGCCCCGCCCTCTTCCTGCCCGCCGACCATCTGGAAGCGCAGCCGCATGACCCTGTGGGCGGCTGCCGCCCTTTGCGCTACTCGTACGAGAGCGCGGGCGACCACCTGGAAGCGCACGCGCAGGAACTGGCGGGCGGCTGTCGGCCCGCGCGCTACTCGTACGAGAGCGCGGGCGATGCGCCGCTGTCGCCCATATCGGAGTCGGCGGCGCCCGTTATCGAGGGTGAAGAAGGGGCGGGGGCGGTGAGAGGGGCGGCGCTATCGAGGACGTCGTCGTCGGGGACGAATACGAGGTGAGTGCGGTTGTTATTTAGGTCATCTTAAGTTTATTGTCTATCTACAATATTGAGGTTATCCCACTGTGAAATTTGTAAAAATTTTAATACAGGGTGTCTCGAGGGGTAGACAACTCGTTGAGACTGGTGAACACTGGATAAGTGAGTACCTGTTGAGTAATTTTCAGACTTCTTGAGACTCTTGAGTATTTGAGTATGTTGAGTACTCTTTGAGACATTTTGAGGCATTTGAGACTTTTTGAGACATTTTGATTACTTTTGAGACAATTTCATTACATTTGAATCGGACAGTATTTGAGACTTGTTGATTACATTTGAGATGTTGTTCATTCAATTTGGAGTAATCGATTATATGTGATTATAGGTTGAGTACAGTTGATTAATTGAGTATTGATTATGGTGTACACATTTCGCTGGAGTTGTCTCCCCCTCGGGGTGTCCCGATATAAAAATATGTCAAACACAGATTCTAAAAATGGTTCTAAAATTATCCTAAAATTTTTCTATCTGTCATTCGGTTGCCCCCTTATGAGCAACCCTCAGAAGTCTTCAAGATAGTTGTACGAGCAAGGAATGACTAAGGCCTTACCTTTTAACGAGGGGTGAACCGCGGTCAAAATAGTGTACTGTACACCAAACTTCAATTTCACAAGGAATTCCAAGGAATTCTAAGAAATTTCAAGGAATTCTAGTTGTTTGTGCACAGGAATTATACCGCACTTCACACAAGGAATTCCAAGAAACTCCAAAGAATTCCAGGGAATTCCAAGAAATTAGAAGGAAATCCAAGGAATTCCAAGGAAGGCCAAGGAATTCCAAGGAAATCCAAGGGAATCCGAAGAATTCCAAGGAATTTCAGTTGTTTGTACACCAGAATTATACCGCACTTCACTCAAAGAATTCCAAGAAAATCCAAAGAATTCCAAGGAATTCCAAGGAAATCCAAGGAATTCTGAGAAAATCCAAGGAATTTCAGTTGTTTGTAGACCAGGATACCACAGTTCACCCAAGGAATTCTAGGAAATTCCAAGGAAATCCGAGGAATACCAAGGAGTCAGAAGGAATTCCAGTTGTTTGTACACCAGAATTCCACCACGGTTTACCCCTTGCCTTTTAACGTGTAATCTCAAACACATCCTTTGGCCATCAGAAAAATTTCTGAAGTTGGATTCGAACCCACGTCCGGCAAGCCATCGCGATTAGAAAACTAACGCTTCGGCCACGCGGCTACCTAGCCCTAGAAACAAAAATTAGATAAAAAAGTTCCTATAATTGTTGGTCCAGAAATGGCTCCTTGGTTATTTGATCACGGATGATTGCGAAAAGATTCACATAACACCATCACCTCAGGCCCTTTTTCAGATGGCCATAACCCTCGATGGGGCTATGTCTGGACCCTTGTTTACATAAACAGTTCTTACCATTTTTATTCCTAGAATCTGTGGTTGGGATCTTTCTATGTAATTTCGGGACATCCTGTATACGCAGTTTTTCATTTAGTTAAAATACGATTTCCTATGTCAGTACTGCGTTGCCGGCATGATCAATATGTATATATTCCCGGAAATTGTTATTTGAATACATTATATCTATGTCATAACAGCAATGGGGTAATAGGTTTCTCAATCCTACTTTATCCAGTATTATGAGTAATTTTCAGAAAACTCTTATTTGCTGAATGTAGTTGATTACTAATAAAGATAAATTATTATATCTTGCAGAAGTATCTATAATATTTCACTCTCTTCATATTACAAAATGATAATCAGGTTATTTGCAGATGAATTCGTTCCTTAATAAACGGGATCCATTACATTGGCAACAGCGCGTAATACATTGAGCTCGTCCACACCACACAAAAAACCGAAAGAGCTAATCTGATTTTGTGGTTATGTATTTTTTGTTAGAGTTTATCACTTGTTTTGTTAGTTAGTTCATCATCGTTATTTTCCATAATGTCATCACCAACGACGCCAAGTTGTTTCCTTTTTCTATGTCCTCAATTCATTTTTTATTCATTAGCTATTTGCTAGCTATATTCTTCTTCATCAGCTATATTCAGACTAGATTCAGAATGTCGTCACAGTTTTTTGCCCCGAAAATTAGAAACTGCTTTATCTTCAAAATGAAAACGACTTGGACTTAACCGATCGCCATTCTATACAGCTTGGACATAAAACCGAGAAGTTCCGAATCTACTTTATGAACATTCATCTGAAGGAAACTCCTCCATTGATGGGGCAAAAATCAAATCAATCAAAGACATTTGATCTGAGTTACTTATAGTTTTACACAATTTTTTACATTGGCAATTCCTTACTTTTTCAGGTCAGTGTCGGCTGCTGTCAGTGACGAATCAGTGGCTGGTGACTCCGGCGTGTTTGAAGCTTCCAATAGAAAGAGAGCGTCAAATTTGTTCCCTCTCGATTTGGATGCGGAAACTGCACAAGTACAAATTAAGCTAAGATACCTAATGACTGAAAATATGCTCAATATTACGATAGAGAAGGCGAGAAACTTGAGTGCATTGATGATTCCCGACGATTCCGAAGTGTAAGTACAAATATCGATCTCTTCAATTATTTTGAGTCAGTATCTAACTGATTTCATTTTGATAATTATGAGAAATATTCAAGAGGCTATAGTTCATTCAAAGTCGAATTTCCACTTCTATAAATGATGCTATTAAAATAAACATGGTGCCCGAAAATGATGAGCGAAATTTGGTGCTACAAATTTTCCAAAAGTATTCTTCATCAATGCCAATTACTTTGTAACCTCACAACTAGACCATGTTATTTTTCTTTGACATTTATGAACTTGATTCAAAGTATACTGTAGAATTTCATATTCATTTTGCTGATGCCGAGCCCTATAAAATCGTCAATATTTCTACTATTGAATGATTATGGAGATGAATAGAGCTGAAGTTAGTTGGAATTTATTCAGTGCAGGCAGATATTCCAGAGCAGTTTGCTTGAAATCGGCTAATTTCAATGTAATTTCATCAGGAGGATCTCTTTAGATAGTTTTCAGAAAATGAAACAGACCATTGATGAATGTGGCAATATCAGAAATATCAGTAGAAATTGATTTGAACATTAAACTTCAAGTCTTGGTACCTCTGATATTATGGAGTCATCAGAACAATGTTACATCGAATTCGCAAATAAAATTACTCCTCCAGTTATCTGCCCATCTATTAATGTATTCATTGAAAAAATTTACTTATTTCAATTCTTCCCATTATAATCTTCATTCTGTCATTTCAGATATGTTAAAACAGCATTACTGCCAGCAAATCCCACTCAGCCGTCAGTATTCTCGACGAAATGCGTCAAGGATTTAAAGAAGGCAACATTTGCTGATGTATTTAATGTTCAAGTACCTGTTAATAAGATATTCACGAAAACCCTTCAGTTAAATATTTGGAATAAACCATCGAGCCTGCAAGAAATATGTGTTGTAAGTACAATTTTCTTATTTACCAACCCGTGATATTCCTATTCATCAAATATCGCCTCGATATGAGTTGCATAATAACGGAGATATAATCAATTGAATATTTTTTACATTTTAAAAGAATTCCATTACGGTTCAACCTCCACCATGTCATGCAAAAGTGGTACAGTGTTCTATCCTTCATCAGTTTCCTTACACATTCTCACTAACTTTATGATATGAACTGTAAACCGAGCTGTAAACAGCTCATTGAATAACTGATTTTATTTTCATTAGAATTCATCATACAATATCCAAAGACAAATTGATAGTTTGCAAAATAAATGTCAAACAATATAGAGATAAATAATACAAAGGGACAGTTGTATAGTGCCACCATAATTTGCGACAACCTTAAGACACAGATCAATAGGTTTCACTGTATTGCTAAATTTATCAATTTGGTCCATTAACACCAGTGGTAGAAAATTTTTTATTGCTAAATGCATAGAGAATAAATAATATGATGAGGATATGTTCTGTTGCTTAATTCATCTTGTGATCTTATGAGCCACCAACTCACCATTATTCAAACTAGGTGATCAATATTTTAATTGTAATTTGAGGTTAATACTGTTATCAAATATGAGTTCTATGCTCTTTATACCATCTCAGTTAAGTATTAATTTGGGCGTGTTGGTGTGGTTTTAAATTCCAGATAAATAGGTAATTCCTATGAATATTCAGTTACTCAGTAAGTTACTGCTATCTAGCAGCAGCATTCATAAATCTTATCGGTAATTGCAACATTGTACAGTTGTAGAGTCACGTATTTTGTCATTTGGTGCCCAATATGTGATGAATATATTCCATATCATCTACAATTTTCTCAATCGCAAATACAGATTTCAAAATTCCAATCAGAAGAAACTAACCTCGAATCTTCTAAAACGTCAACGGAATCACGAATGGGTTGCGTGCAAGAACTGTCAGATGACCGACACTGGAGGCAAAACATTGAAACACAATGTCACTTTTCTTATTTGTTTACAAGTGATGGAAATAGTTTTTCACAATTATTTTGGCATACGAATCGTATTTTTTCACTATTCATCAATTCGCTCATGCCATCACATTGTGCTGTTGTAAAATGCACAAAAACTGCAGCGGAAGATGAAGGAATCCGGATGGTACATTATGATTAAAAAGTAAGTACTTACTATAGTCACTCACCTATAGTTTTCATTTTTGAAATTTGGTAATTTCTCTGATTTCTCATCGGAATTCCTTCTGCGATAGGAGCTAATAGAAATACACCGGAAATTTCTAAAATAATGCAAGAAGATTGGATTCATGCAATCAATCGGGAGGACTGGTCTGACATGCTGACGATCGTGTGTGTTGTAGACATTTTCAATCTATTAGCAGTATCAGCTTGTATTGCAGGAGTGGCAGAAGGCAGAAGGAATTTTAATAAGGAATGACAACATTTCATAATGATAACTATGTGAGATTACTATTTACCTGAAAAATCATATTCCTTAGTCTCTTGCTGCATTTTTTGTGCATTGTACTACAGCACAATGCCAAGGCATGCTTGAATTAATGAATAGCGCAAAAAAAACGATTAGTATGCCAAAATATTGTGAAAAACTATTTCAATCCTTTGATTCCTCTGTAACCAAATAAAAAAGTGAGGTGTGGTGAGGTTGTGTTTCCATAATTTACAGAAGAATGAGGTTGTGTTTCAATATTTTGCCTCCAGGGTCGGTCATCGTGCACGCGACCTATGAAATGTTGCTTATTTCAGTGAAAACTGTCTTCCACTGACAATCCATCATTCATATTGCCACTATGTTGAGTTTAGTTTGGTTCAGTTTATTTATTGGCAAAGTATTACACTAGAGTGCTTTTACAGGTCAGATATATAAAAAAGAGAGAAAAAATGTTACAATTGATATAAAATAGTAAAAAAAATTACAAATAGTAGGAGAAAGCTTATTAGGTAAGATACTAATAGTAGCAATACATAGTAAGACGAATATAAAAATATCAAAATATAGAGTCGAATACATTTACATATTAAAATCACTTTCTAGATACTCCTCGATGGAATAGAAGGCATTTTTTGAAATATACGTTTTGACTTTGGATTTGAAATAGTTATAATCTAGGTTTTCTTATCTCTATAGGCAGAGCATTATACATTTTTTTGCCGTAGTAATCGGCGCCCCTTCTTGTACGTTCTAACCTGTGGTAGCTCAGGACTAAATTATCTCTATTTCTAGTTGAATATATGTGATCTGAAGTTCACTAGGTTCAGTTTTATGTGGCTTAGGCAGTGAAATATAAAAGTACAAGGAAGTGTGAGGAGTCTAATACTGCAAAACTATTTCTTCAAGAATCTGGATATTTTAATCCTGCGATAATTCTATGGTGAATTGCACCAAAATTGGTGCATTTCGAAACACATACACAGTGTTTGTTTTTCTGTACTTATGACCTTCGTGTCTGTGGCCTGCAGGGTTGTGCGCAAGTCAGCCTGGCCGACTTCAACGTCCACCACGTCACGCAAAAGTGGTACAACATGCTGTCGCTGCGACGTTCTTTTATACTAGTTTCTTTACACACTCACACTAACTTCATAATATGAACTGTAGACCGCAATTATAATGAAATTCACATAATTAGCCATTCAGCCAACTAAAATTGAGATCGCGCTCGACGTGAGTTGATAATCGAACCATCTAGGAGTGGAGGCACGTACATGATGTCACGATCATTCATCCATTACGACGTTGAAGAGTTATGCGACAACCTTATGACAGTATATATAACTCTTTATTAGCATACAAAGTGCTCTTTACAGAAAAATACAGAATAAGCGAAAAAAAAAACAACACAAGTATCACAAATAACAAAAGTCCTTCAAAAGACAAATACAGGTACTATAATAGGTACAACATATTAAAAGTTACTATAGGTACAATATTAAAAATTAACCAGGTACAACATTAAAAGCTACTTTCATAAAATATAATTTCATACTATTAAAACTGTTTGAATACATAGTCTCTGCATTTTTTTTGGAAAAGGGTCAAAGTCGTGAGGTTTCTTGTTTCAGGGGGTAAGCTATTGAAAAGTATTGCATTTTTTTTTTGGAAAAGGGTCAAAGTCGTGAGGTTTCTTGTTTCAGGGGGTAAGCTATTGAAAAGTATTAAACCCTTATTAAATACTGTATCACAGTGCATGTTATCCATTCGAATATAAAAATCATTTTCAGTTCGAGTTCTAGTCTCATGAGTGTGTACATTTTCTACATTTTCTATATTATATATATTCTTTGTTTCACAGTCATCAATGATAATGTATCTAACATATTTTTCATTGGAGTACGTTTGCTACACATGAGTATAGCTCTCATGGCACGATTTTGTGTTTTTTGAATTATATTCAACTGGTCATTATTAAGAAAAAATAAAAGGGTTCCACAATAATCGAAATGAGGGGCTATTATAGACTTTTAAATAGTCAACTTGGAACAAAATGAAACTTTACCATTGAGCCTGTACGATAGTGATTAAAAGGTTTGTTTATCTGTGCTTACGACCTTTATGTCTGTTGTCTGCAGGGTTGTGCGCAAGTCAGCCTGGCCGACTTCAACGTCCACCACGTCACGCAAAAGTGGTACAACGTGCTGTCGCTGCGACCCGACCATCCCGCCCACCCACCGTCTTCGCTCCGCCCACTAGAATCTGACGCGTCTGCGCGGCTGCAGGCGGGCAAAGAGGAGAGCTCCGACGACTCGACGATCGTGTCGTCGCAGACGTCGACGCTGACGCGCAACCAGGAGACGCTGACAGCGCCCAGGGTGGACATCGATTTCGAGGAGCTGTACGACTGTTTCAGGAGTTCGGCTGCCGAAGGGTACGATGACAGCGAGGATTCGGAAGAAGATTTGGGGGAGGAGTGTGATGAAGAAGGTAGGTGGGACAGTCGGGGAGTTGTATATTGTTGTATACTGTTCATGAGACATGGGTCGATTCTGTTTGCAATAGCAATATGGTTGTAGAGAAGATGTTGCTATCGGAACAAGATTCGAAGAAGTGGAACTCTGATTATTGATTTTGGGCAATATGATCGGGCAATTTCGGTGGCATCTTGTTAGCTTTAAACAATAAATAATTTAAAAGCTTACACGACTCACCTTGGATAAAAACTGGTCAAAGTTTCCAATAATAGATATACATATCACAAATTTCGGAACACATTAATACTAAAATAATATACCTTTATTCAAATAATTAGACACATATAGTTTATGGGTAGCTGAAAGCACAAGACTATTCAGACATCGCAATATTTATTAGAGCATGAGATATGGAGAGATTCGAAAAAAAATATCACCAATTATAGGAGTACTTTACACAATTAGACATGAAGTTTCTTTGAATCATCTAAAATTAATCTATTATTCCTTAATTTATTCTAAAATTCAATATTTGATATCTGTTTGGGGAACGGCTAATTTCTCAATTATAAAGCCACTTAAAATCCTTCAGAATAAAGTTGTCAAATGTTAATATAAATTGGATTATTTGGAACCAACAAGAAACCTTTATAAACCAAATGAAATATTAGATCTTCGATCAATATATAAATTCAAAATATTAACATTTGTTCATTCAGTCAAACACAATTATAAACATTCCAATTTGAAATTTAAAATTAATGCTAATATACATTCACATTCAACTAGACAAACAGACATGTTTTTCCTCATTTAAATCAAATCTGAATTTGGCAAGAGATCAATACCAAAAAATTCAAGAAAGAACTCAAAAAATATTTATTTGTATGAATTTTGTCATGTCATTCATATTGAGATCATATAACATATCAATTATTTTAATCATTCATTCACTCAAACAAGGATCAGCTCAAAATATGAGAATTACTAGAATAATTATATTATACCTATAAATATTATATTTTGAATGTTATGTGAAACATTATGGTTTATTTTTTAATGTTCCCTGTTATAAACATATACGTCAATTGTTTCTTAGGAATAATAAAGATGATGATGATAATTGAAACAGCAAATATAATAATGTTATGTTGACTACCATTACGATGAGACGAGAGTAGCCCCAGACTAGATATCTTGGGAAACGTCACATCCAGTTTATTATAGGTTCGCAAGTTTCTCATGAAAGTTTCTTGATCATTATTCGAAGTTCGAACGTGATTATCGTGATTCGAACTTACTGATTTAGTGATTAATTGATATACCATTTTTCACTCTTGACCGTACTGACGCTATCGAAAGTATTGACATTTCAGTATTGACGTACCGCAGATGCACCAACATGATTTTCAGCCAGTCAGATGTGTAATTCACAAGAACTAATTTTTCTTCTAAATAACTTTCATCAGAAAGCTGAGACGACTCCTACAATCAGATTTCACGCAAATAAAGCTGTTTGAGTAATCAAACTTCCATACTATTGCTGCTATAGTAATAGAGGTTTTTAGGTTCATCTCGATAAAATCAAGATATAATGAGTACAAATAATGGAGTCATCAAATATTCAAATAATATCAAGTTTCTTTGGCTGTACAGACCATAGTGTAATGGTTCCACTTTACACCCTGTGTAAGTTTCGTTCTGCGGACTTCTCCAGAGTGGTCTAGCTCTCTTTGAAGCCGATGAAACATCACATCTGATATCGAGAATCGCATGAAGATCGGTCAATTTTTTCAAAAAATACAGGTCTTTGAAATAGAGTCAAATTATGAGTGGTCCATTTAGTGTGCTGAGAACTGTAGTTCCACAACCGGCCACTTTGGCGCTGCGATCTTGAATTCAGTCGCCTATATGATGAAAAAATATGATTAAAATCGTTGCAACCCTGCTTATTCATGACCCATTTTCTGTTTGCTCCCGCCAGGCATCACAGTGGAGTTCCGGTCGCCCGACAAACTCGACGTCGTTCTCGAACAAACCGACGACTGCGACGACGCGTGTGCCGAGTGCGACGACGCGTGCGCTGCGTGCTCGGACCAGCTGCAGCTGCAGCCCGAGTACTCGGACAAGCAGACCAACACGGAGTGCGCGTTCCATCCGGAGCAGGCGAAGCAGATGAAGCTGAGGGCGGCGGCGGTGGGCGGGGGCGTGGGCGGGGGGGCTAGTGAGGGACCGATCCGGCGCAGCCAGACGTTCTCGCCGAGCGCGCAGGTGTCGAAGGCGCACTACGCGTGCAAGCTGAACAGGAGCGACAGCGATAGCGCGATGCCGTTGTACAGGAGAGGTGAGCGACTATACCTTTTTCTTTTTATAAATAGAGAGAAACTCAAAGTCATTATCACAATAGTTCATAAAATGAACGAAAATGGTAGATAACGGGAGAAAAACAACTACTTTCCTGACTATATGCCACGCAGAACATTGGATTACTCCCGAAATCTATGCAATAATTCGTATAGATGAATAAAATAGCTAGCGTTTCCTTCCTAAACGTTTAGGTTTAGAATTAAGCTATTGATTGAACCCTATAATTGCTACACACAGTATTCATAAAAAAGAGGTTTTCATGCGAATACAGTTACAATATTTAGGAGATAACCTGTCATTCAAAACAGAAAGCTTTCAAATCGGACAAGTAGTATCGACTTTTCGATACTTTTTGGTGGTGTGTTAGTTTCTGGGAGGAGTGTATTAACGTGTTGATTTGAAGTTCGTCGCCAACAGTATCATTATGGGTTGTGTGCAAGAACTGTCAGATGACCGACCCTGAAGGTGAAACATTGAAACACAACCACACTTTTCTTATTTGTTTACAAGTGATTGAAATAGTTTCTCACGATTATTTTGGCAAATGGATCGTGTTTTTCGGCTATTTATCATTTCACGCATGCCATCACATTGTGCTGTTGTACAATTCCCAAAAATGCAGCGGGAGACGAAGGAATCCGGTTGGTACATTATGATTTCAAAGTAAGTACCTACTATAGTCATTCACATGTAGTTTTCATTTTGAAATATGGTAATTCCACTGATTTCTCATCGGAATTCCTTCTGCAATAGGAGCTGATAGAAATACTCGTGAAATTCATAAAATAATGCAAGATGGTATGATGCAATAAAACGGGAGGACTGGTCTGACATGCTGCAGAAATATGATCGTGTGTGTTGTAGACATTTTCGAACTATTAGCAGTATTAGCTTCTATTGCCGAAGTGCCAGTAGGAATTTGAATCAGAAATGACAAAATTTCATAATGAAAACTATGTGAGATTACTATTTACTTGAAAAATCATATTCCATCGTCTCGCTGCATTTTTTGTGCACTGTACAACGGCACAATGAGAAGGCATGCTTGAATTAATGAATAGCGCAAAAAACACGATTCGTATGCCAAAATATTGTGAAAACTATGTCAATCCTTTGACTCCTCTGTAAACAAATAAAAAAAGCGAGGTTGTGTTTCAATGTTTCACAGAAGAGTGAGGTTATGTTACAATATTTTACCTCCAGAGTCGGTCATCGTGCATGCGTCCTATCATTATTGTAAATCTACCCTGAGCTGACTTGAAGTTATTGGAATTGCAGGCAGCAAACCCTTCGAACGCCACGCCGTCGAGCGCCGCTCGCTCCGCTTCCGCCGCCAACCCCACTCCGCCACCTCCACCACATCCCTCGCCTCCCCCCACCACCACCACCACCCCGCCAAACCGCACGCGCCCACCGTGGCGCGCACCTCCATCGACCTCGAGCTCGACCTGCGCGCGCAGCACGCTCGCCTCGACAAGCTGCAAGCCGAGCTGCTGCGCCTGCGCGACCTCAAGCGGCGACTCGAGTCGGCGAAGGAGCGCGGCGATGTCGACGTGGCTGCCGGCCTGCTGGAGAACGGTCAATTCCAGACGATGATGGCGCAGGCGGAGAGCAGGCGGGTGGTGAGCGGGCCGGAGGAGAGGCGATTGGAGAAGATGCTGCGCAGGGTGTCGAAGGAGATTTACAAGTTGAGGAAGTCGAAGGCGGGGAACGGCAAGCCGGACCTGATATCCTTCAAGTGAGTTTTTTAACTGGTAACAACATGTGATCGGAAAGTTTCTATAGACATATAAAAAGTAGGGAAACATAACAATTCATTCTTAAAACACTGTTTGTTTAGAATCATACAGTATTTTTTGCTCTGCATAAAATGGTCTAGTAAAATCGGTTTTTTTTACAGAGAGAAGATGGCGTTCTTCACGAGAACGGACACCAACGTGCCTTTCCTGCCTATCGACGAGTGCCATTCGGGCAACGTTGCCACGAAAAATTCCAACGAAGACAAACCCCCACAGGGGGCCGACGAGGATAGCGGTAAAGTTGTGAACGAGGAGGAGAAATCTAAAAATGGCGATCAAGAAAGCGCCGCTCGTTACGGTTATTATGTAGATAGAGCGTTAGGGGTCGAAGTTTGATATTTATTGAATCACTAGTTAATCGACAGTCTTCTTGTACATAGTTTGTAAAGTTGTATATTTGTTCATACGGTTTTCAATGTACAGGGTGCCGGGGAATTCGAACGACCACGTTTCACAGGTGATAGCTCTCGTGATGTTATAACGACTTAGGTACGGATATAAAGTCTTCAAGTGCTCCGTTCTGGAAAGATACAGGGTGTTGAAGTTGAGAAATAAACATTATTCTTCCGCAATAACTCTAGAACGGTTGAATTTTTTGCATTTCAATGGGGTTGTACACACTAGTCGAAATTACGCTCACTTATTCCATGTTGATACTTATTTGTTATTTAAAATCTTCGCAAATACTTTATTTCTATAATGAAAATCAGCTCCTTTTTGAAACCTTAGCTCTTCATGATAGGCTCCACCGTTGAGCACCAATTGTGATACATTTCACTGAAGGCTCACAACGATTATAATGCAATGTTTTGTCTCAGAATCATATTCGTTGCAGTCGACCCCTCAGACTCGATAACAATTCATTCATAAACCAACCAAACGCTAACAATCTTAAACGACAAACACGGATGAATGAATGAAATCACGAATGGTGGGGATAACTCTGCGGAACCATTGCCAGAAAATTGATATTTGATTGATTGATATCTATATTCTATAGATTTGGCGGAACCATTGCCAGAAAATTGATTTTTTTCATGGATATATTTCATAGATTTGATAAATCGGAATTTCTAACAATGTGTGTAGGTATGTGCATTTATAAATTGAATCTTATGCATTATGAAATGTATACGTCATTTTGTAACGTCCAATTTAGGTTATTTGATATATTCAACACTATAAATATGCTTTTAATCAACAAAAGCAACCCCTCAAACAACACCGCCACTGATCGTTACCATCGAGATTAGAAGGCCAGCAGACTCTGACGTAAACAGCTCGTGACGTCACCCAAGAGAGGCCAGTGTTTTACCGCTTGTCACTAACGCGTCAGTTCTTGTTAATTCATCGGGGATTCACGTATGTTTTTGAAGCGGTCCCGAATTCTTTTGTTTATTCATCGACATAATTGGCGGAAAATTACTTTTTTGTGAAATATTTTGTGTTGTGATAGGCGAAATAGCGATGCCTTTCTTGTGTTGTGTTCCCTTTTGTCGGAGGAATTATGTGGGTCTTCCAAAAGTTCATGCTTTTAGTTTCCCGTTGGACAAGCAACTATCGAAAAAGTGGGTATTTGCAATTCACCGCGAGGATTTTACTCCATCTAAGTACAGTAGTAAACAGAGCTTTAATTTATAATGATGAATTAATAATAGAAGACAATTACTCTATCATAAAAAGTATGAGTAGAGGAAAAAGAGAAAAGCTTTGATTGTGCAGTTAGTTTTGTATTCGTATATTATATTCAACAAAATCATCTCTGAATTCGAGGAAATTTTCTTGAATGTTCATAATAAACGGGCATTTTCAACTCAATACATTCTCAAATTTCTTTCTGAAAACGGTCATTTGCCTCGTGGCAATGCATGCAGAATTCATTCCAATGATCAAATTGCAACTATCATATTAACATGTACTACAAACACTCTACTTAAAAAGGTAAAACTGCATTTATCATTATTTATTAAGATATTTGACTATAAAGTTACAAATTTCACCTTCTTTTTCGCCTGTCTTTTGGATGGCATTTAGAACAATTTTCCCTTCTTTTTTCATCATATTGGACAATTTATATATATTACAATAAATGTCACATTTTTTTCTATTATATGATGATTCAACTATAAATATGATTTTCTTGAGATTTATCCATATCTAGTGAAAAGAAGGAAGAATATCATTTAAAATAATGGCGTGTGTAATGTCATTCCAAAGCAATCTGTTGACATTTGACACCTCGTATTTTGATTGACTATTGATTAATTGGCCGTCATCTGGAATGCTTGTTCACTAAATATGAAAAACTCGCCATAAAAATCATATTTCCTATTGAATTTTCTATATAAAAATGTGTCATCGAAGTACATCATGAGTATATAAAGTGTCCAATGACAAAATAAGAAGAGCAAGTAGCTTTAAATGCCCCCAACACAAGGAGAGAAAGAAGGCGAAATTTCGAACTTTTTCTTGAAATTTCTCGATAAATAGTGGTTTGTTCACATTTTCATTATCAAATTCGTGTTTTTCAGACAAAAATACGTACGTACCAAAAAAAAATTTCGAATTGAAATACGCGGTCGCCTTAAACGAGCCGCTGGTTAGTCATCACTAAGGTGACGTCACCACGGAGCATGCAGGCCTTATTGTCTCGATGGTAACGCACTGATCCGAATTTCTATATACTTGTGAAATATGAAGTAAGGATATTTGTAACAAACTTTTCTCTACATCTGTGATACTGCCGTACCATATTTATTCACAAAATAGTCTGCATTATATTTATAATATGTTTGTTATCCCATACTGTTGTGTTCCTTGACGTGGCTGGAACGGCAAATGTGAGCAGGCGCAGTAAAGACGAGACCATACCAGGGGCGGTTTCAGAATTATTAGATTACCAAGTTTTTGTGGCTAAACATTGTGGAAAATTTATTTGATATTTATTATGATGGATTCCTTTGTTATCTCGAAACTTTTCAGAATTTGGTATTTTCCCAAATTTCCTGTTCAATTCAGAAAGAACGGCACTCTTGTGGAATTTTGATTTGGAGGTTCGTTTATGAGTCAATTAAATTAAAAGAAAAACGAGACCTCGCGAAAATTGGGTTTAGTTGAGAAAAACACGACTCAACTTCCCAACAGTGGCATCGAGCAGTCATCCAAGCAACGTGGCTTGGTTAGCCTAAAATATGATTGAATATCATCAGATCTGTAACTTCTTGCCAGATATTTTAGTTTTGGTAATATAATCATCACAACAAAATAGTATATTGTTTAACGAGCACAGAATGATAGTAATTTCCCACGAGACTGAAGTTTGCAGAATCAGCCGTAGCCTACGGCTGTAACAGATAACAGCGATTTTTTTAATTTCTTTGGCTTGTACCCATCTGATTTTCTCTTAAGTAATGCTCATCTATTAGACAGAGCTGATATCGCTTGAAATTTTACATTTCATAAGAGATGAGATTTCCTGAAATAATAACACAATGAGTCATTGGGATATCAGATACGGAAATAAAATTGATGACATACAAAGTACCTCATTGTCTCATTGTATGGAACACAGTAAAGCCAGATCAATTTTATAGCTGTAGAAAAAATATACAGTATGATGCAAATGTATGGAATAAATTCATTTCAAAACAAGACGACTTCCGAAAAAAATCCAAAAACTAGAGTTCAGAACTTTTTTTATTGTGTATTTTTTCAACTAGACGACCCTTCGATGTTCAATTCTCAGTAGCAGACCTCTGCAAGATTCAGTTAACCAAATGATAATCCATTTTAATTGCAATATTCCTATGCAAAATTTTGACTGTTGGATAGGCGATCAGTAGACCTTTCAAACGAGGTGTCACATGACCCCTGCTTGTATTTCACCAGTGACGTAACATCTCTCATATGAATGTCATGAGATGAGGCTTCAAAAATTAAAACTCACGTGTTTTTTTAATTTCTTCAAATGTCGCCCATTGTATAGTAGCACAAAGCTTGTTGACGATATAAAATTACCTGGAGTGAAACATTCCTGGAATTTGTTCTTCATCTTGACACCTAATCATTCATTTTGAAAACAATACACACAAATTAGTCAATGAATGTTGAATCCAATAAGCACTGTAGATATAAACTATGATTACAATAAACTTCCCAAACTGGAGTGAAATGAAACACTGAATAACTGAAACTAATCCGGCTCTCTCCTAAGTCTACGTCACACAAAATGACATGGGTAAATTCTTACACAGTTGCCAGATGAAGAAATTAGAAGTTCATAATAATTCATGGATCTCTTAGCCATTCTATTGATATCAGTGAGTCTATGAATTTTATATATTATGATTTATGTAAATCTGTTGATTATCAATTACAAGAAGTTTTATAAGAAATATTTACTACATCCTAATGTAATGCATAAATATGAGATTTTCGTATAAAAATATATAACTGACAATGTTGCAGATAATGTGCACACGATCACCATTGCCATAATGACACTGGTTGTATCAGATTTCAGTGATTTCTTACACTTGCCTCCTAGGTCTTTGAGTTCTGTGGTCGTCACACTCAACTTCACGATTTCCCACATATTTCATGATGAAATATTAAAATAAAATAAAATAATAATAATCTTCAACTATGCTTGCGACAACCATATTTGAAATATTTGACCTAGAATAAAATCTTTCATAAGTTTTTCTAATAATTTTCAATAGCAAATTAATAAAAAAGTAAATTTCATGCATAAAAAAACAAGCATCTTTATTATGTTCTACTACAGCAAATGATTAATAATACCTAAGCAGTAGAATATTTTGAAAACTGTTCATATTAGCTTAGTTCTGAAGGTTGAGCGTTGTTATCAAAATTACATCACTTACATAAAAAACGGAAGTATAAAAAACTTCAAATGATAAGATTTCCACAAAATTCTATATATAAAGCCAAGCACAGCTTCTGCAAGTGAAATGCTACTAGAATAAACTGAGTTCATAGAAATCATATCGTTTGTGAAGTGTTTTAAATTTACAATGGATTTCCATCAAGTAAAAGCCGAGGCAATTAAAAAATATAGGAATTGGAAAAAAGTTACTACATCGCCTTGTGACTAGTGCAACATCAGGGACTTAACAGGGAAAAATCGTATGCCAAAATGGATTGAAAAAAAGTCTGCCGCCCTTGAGTTATTTCTGAAAAGGTATATTCATGTTTCAACTTCATCAACAGCCTCTAAAGCTGACCACTTGAGCACCTTGTGTCCCTAAATAATCATCCATCAAATTACAATTCCTATGACCTGTGAAGCGTTCTTAGTAGAATTTCTCAAAACC